GCCTATAACTAATGTAAATTCTTTGCCACTCTTTCTTCCCCCAGCCCCCTACTTATATAAAAACTCCAGGATGATGGACATGCTGTCTTTTGTAGCTAACCATGCTGCTAGTGGTTTAGACTCTATGCCCCAAAATGAGTCTTTTTGCTAGCATTTTTGCCTCAATAAAACCTTACTTACTTTCAGCCAAGGAAGTTGAAAATTCTTTGTGTTTAACATGCATTTTGTTCTCATTGATCAGTGACGACAAAACAGTACAGCTAGTCAATTATGAAGCAAAGAATGGTAATTTGGGGGGTTCCTGCCTGGCCTTTTCATAGGTAAACAAGGGAGAGATCAGTGAGGCTTATCTAAGTCTTATCTAGCAGGGGGGTTCTTTGTAGTAAGTCATTTCCTTGCACACAAAGTGCTAATGGAGAGGAGAGTGCTTCATCTCCACTGGTTGCTTGTGGGGGTGGAATTCTTGCGATATCCCAAGAAAAGGAATTTTCTGAGTCTTGCATGGGAGAATGAATGATTTTTATTTGTGTTGAGTTAAATCCTTGAGTTTCCAAAGTCCCACCATAAAAGAAGTGTAGCTGGGACCCCGGCAGAGCTAAAATAAGAGCCAGTGTCCAGAGTGTCCTTTCCATGTTCTCAGATCCACATGGCTGTAGAGGAAACACGGGCGAATGCAAGAAGCCAAGAGCAAGCCAAGAAAGAGCACAGGAGAGCCAAGAGAGAGAACTCCTTTGTTTAGGAGATTATGTATTCCCAAATATGTGAGCACTTGCAGTGGCCACACCCATTCTGGTCAACCATCACTGTTTCTAGGTTTGATTGACCAGCAAGTACCTTCCCTATGCCACCCCAACTTTACTGAGCATGCGTCTATCTTCCCTTTGTTGGATCCCTCCCCCAGGGTTTTGCAGGGAATAGGCTGTTGGGTCCCTAGGTAGTGCAAAGTTGCAGATTCTTGGTGAAGCTGCCCAAGTGACATGCCTATAATGCCTGGCCTTCCCTTTGTATCTTTCTTATCCTATATAATAAAGAAGTAATATGCAAATTAACCCTCACACCCTCACAAGATGGCTGCCTATGACCAGGCCTGCAGAGGGGTTAGTGAGGGACAACCAAATGACTGAACAGCAGGCTGCGTGGGGTGACCAGGTCAGTGGGGGGTGGGTCGTGAGGGGTGACCAGGCCAAGGGGGGGGCAGTTGGGAGTGACCAGGCTGGCAAGTGGGGGTCAGTTAGGGGTCAGGCCAGCGGGGGTGGGGCAGTTAGGAGTGACCAGGCCGGCAGAGAGGCAGGGAGGGGCAGTTAGGGGTGACCAGGCAGGCAGGGGAGCAATTAGGAGGCAGCAGTCCAGGATTGTGAGAAGGATGTCCCCCAAGGGGTCCTGCATTGGAGAGGGTGCAGCCTGGGCTGAGGGCACCCCGCCCCCTTGTGCAAGAATTTCGTGCACTGGGCCTCTACTTATTAATACTAGCTAATTACAATGATATCAAAATAATAGGAGAATTTATTACCTTCCTAGTTTTCTAGAAGTGCACAGCTTAGGTAAAATGCACCTTTGTCATCACATTACTTGGTTCTCTCACTTAAAATTTCTTTTTTTGTTGTTACAAGGCTGAATTTGAAATTATTCACACAGACATTAATCTGTATCATTACTGACTAATATTTTTTATCCAAGCACCATTATCTGCCTTGTTCTCACCTATCATTCAGTAAGCAACTTACATACCACTGGATGTTGTTTTTTATTCTAACCCCCAAACAAAATCAGTGTTCTGAAGTGTATTCCCACTGAGAATAGTGAATGTTACCTGAACCCTGTGCTCCTGGAAAATAGCAACAGTTAACAAATACCCCCACTCTTTTGTGTGTCCAGAATTGGCTTATTGCAACTGGCCACCCTTTCTACATGACTTAGATAAATAAGACTCAGAGATGTCCTTATCATTTACTATTGACAACCTCCAAATTCCCATTCTTTGTCTCAGAAATGATTTGCTGAGCTGTTTGTCCCCTTTGATCAGGCAGAACAAAATAGCTATTAATCTGACTTGATCAAGCTTCAGTCAAGCTTCCCTCTTTCCCCAGGCCCCTGAACTTCGACTCTCACTCAGCCTGAGTCAGCATGCAAGCCCGTCTTAGTGGGCCCTCCTGAGAGGCTGACCTCAGGGTAAAACAGTCTCTAATTATTAAAGAAAAACAAAGCCAGACACCAATTAAAGGTAGATTTTATATAATAGTCCCGCTGAATTAGAGGAGAGACCCCACTGTACCCTAAGCTTAAATCTGACTTGTGCAAAATTGCCCATTTCAAAGGAAGAAGGATAAGGGAGTGAGTGGGGGGTTTGAGCACAGGAACATGAAAAATTGCAAGCAGCAGGTCAACTTCCAAGTGATTAAACTATCTGTCTCCTAAATGTCACTTATCAAAGTTAGGTACCTGCCCGCCCACAGAGACTAAGAGACATGGTCCCCATCCTTCCTAATGATTACATTTCAACAGAATAGCTCTTAAGTCCTAGAAAAAGATACTTCTAGATTGTAGTAGATACATATAGATTTCAAAGAGACAGAGGAAGGATTTACAATTATAAGTGTTTTTGTTGTTGTTGTTGTTTTGTTTTGTTTTGTTTTTTGTTAATCCTCACTCAAGGATATTTTTCCATTGATTTTTAGGGAGAGTGGAAGAAAGGGAAAGACAGAGAGAACTATCAATGTGAGAGAAACACATTGACTGGTTGCCCCCTCTACTAGCACAGATCAGGGCCCAGGCTGGGGAGGAGCCTGAAACCAAGGCACGTGCCGGGACCAGAATCACACCCAGGCCAGCGCTCTATCCACTGAGCAAAACCAGCTAGGGCTACAATTGTAAGTTATTTCATGTAGAATTTAATCTTTATCCACACAGATTTGAACTGCCTGGATCTACTTAAATGAAGATTTTTTTCCCCAATAAATTCTGTAAATGCATTTTCTCTCTTTTTTATTTTCTTAACATTTTCTTTTCTCTAGCTTTCTTTATTTTAAGAATTCAGTATGTAATACATATAATATACAAAATATATATTCATTGACTGTTTATATTATTGATAAGGCTTTGTGTAAACAATAAGCCATTAATAGTTAAGTTTGAGGGAAGTCAAAGTTATACATGGGTTTTTGACTGTAGTGGGGTTTGATACCTCTAACCCTTGTGTTGTTCAAAAATCAACTGTAAATGCTTCTAAGAAAAGGGAATTTGGGGGCCCATAGTCAGGTTTTGGTTGGAACAAACAGTGCCATTTTTAGCAGTGTTAAGCTTTCTCAGACAGGAACTTAAGA